ATAGATAGATAGATTATAGATTATAGATAGATAGATTATAGATAGATAGATAGATAGATAGATAGAATATAGATTATAGATTATAGATAGATAGATAGATAGATAGATAGATAGATAGATAGATAGATAGATTATAGATAGATATATAGATAGATAGAATATAGATTATAGATGGATTAAAACACTAAAATCTGACGATGCGGTCGTAAAGTTTTTATCAAACGTAATGAAATAAACTCTCAGTGAGCAGTGATGATCAGTAACGGTGGAAAATCTAAGATAAAATACAATCTGTATGATATGTGTATAAATGTAAACATATGTACTTGTTCATTAATAGAAGAAAGTAAACGAGCATCACGCTGAGCTTTATCGGACTCCGGGTCAGGTTCTGCTTTGTTCCAGTCAAGTTTCTGCTGAGCTCATTTCAATCTGCTGCAGCTTCACTTTTCTACGAGCAGTTTGTAGTTTTTTGTTTATTTCTGGTTTGCAGTTTGTTCTGGAGCCTCACAGCTTCTTGAACCAAAGTGTTGTAGTTCTGTAGAGCTTTTATGTCAATGAATGGACTTCCTGGCAGAAGCATGTAGTTTTATTCTGACAGCGCACAGCGGAAGTGCAGGTGTGTCAGCAGTAACTTGACGGCAGGTGGACTCTCGGAGACTCAGAAACAGAAAGAGCGAAGAGCCGCAGCAGCCGCGTCTGCTCCGGTTCGGCTCCTGTTCTGCTCCGGTTCGGCTCCTGATGTGTCCGAGGAACAGCTGTGTTCTGATGGTTCTCAGGTATCTGTGCTCTCTGAACTGGACCGCTTCGCTGCGTTCAGTAGAACTCAGAGGAGAATTTTTATTTTTTTCATCAAGACCAACAGATATTTTTGTGGACAGAACAAAACGCAGAACCTCAGGTAAAGATGAAGAAGAGCAGAAACTTGATGAGTAAGTAAGTCTAAAAAGTAATCAGAGTAAAAGTAACTGACAGACTGTTCTCCAGTGAAGCTGATTGGTTATTTATTGATCATTGATGGCCCTTTGTGACACAGCAGAGTTCACATTCAACTGATCAACTGATTGAAGAACTGATTGGTTGCTGGTTCTGGTTCTGGTCAGACCCTGCTGGTTCTCTCCTCCCTCAGAACAGACTCTTGCAGGCTGTTGGCTGGTTCTGACTCGGCTGCAGGTGTGTTTGTTCTATGGCGCAGGTTTAACTAATCCAGTCTTTATTGATCTGGTTTCTGTCGACCCGATCCTGTGAAGAACTCGCTCCGTTTGTGAATATTCTCTGACCATGCTCAAGTAAGAGAGGCGGAGCTACAGAGGACCAATCACAGACAGGGACAGAAGAATAAGAGGAAGGTGTGTGACGGCTGTGCGTCACATTCTGATCCGTTCAGACGTCCTTCGGTGCTGCTCACAGGAACACTCGGCATCTTCAGGTAGTTTACTTCCTACATCACCGTGGTAACTGATGCTGAACACCTGAGCTGCTCCAGAACAGGTGATGTTCCAGGGACCAGCGTACAAAAACACCTTCTGACCAATCAGATGTCAGGACTCCTGCAGGCTGAGAGAAGCTCAGAGTTTCTGGATTCATTGTTCTGCCTTCGTGGATGGATTCAACCCCAAAACAGACCAAACACTGGAACCTTGTTGGCTTTAGAAGATCTGCAGCGAGTCGACTCTTCGGCTGCACGATGTTTTCATATTTGTTCTTTACTTACTTTAACAGCAGCTGAAAGAGTGAAGCCGGGTGACACTGGATGAGAGCATCAGAGGGAACGTGAGCTCACTGAGCCGTCGTCATGTGATCACGTCCTGCTCATCAGTCGGATGGTTTTCATCGTTCTCGTCTTTAAATGTTCAGCTTTTCTGTTGACTTGTTTTTCTCGTGAGCTTCATTTGTGTCTTTGCGTCACATTTAGTTCGTGTTTAGGTCGCATTTACTTACGTCATGGAATCAGATCAGGTAAAGTTAAATTCTTCTTCTGGTTTCAAACCAACATGTCGGCCAATGTTTTGAACAGAAACATGAACCAAGAACATCGTCCAGGAGCCTGAAGCCAGACCAACATACCAGGACCTCTAACCCCAACAGCCCACTCAGGGCAACCGGTCCTACGACGGGGGTCCTCAGCTCAGTAAGTCAACCCAGGTCTGTCTGATCTGATCTGAGCGCGTGCACATAAAATGGG